TAACCAGAAATTCTATTCTAATTGTTTCTTTTCTCACACTTCTTGCCTGTGAAACTCTATTCCAGTTTATTCCGAACTACCTACTTTATTAAAGAAATTAAATGCAACGTTTTGTTTGTTTGTTTAGTGGCATATCAATTCTTTATGGGTCATGTTAATGTCAAAATTAAATTTTCTTGGAAGCATTAGTAATTTTTTCTTACAAAAAATTTATTACTGGTAATTTTTTAAAAATGCATTGCTGGCAATATTTTTAACAATGAAAATCTATTGTTGGTGTTTTTACTATAAAGATGTATATTTCATAATGTTTTGACCGCAGTTTGAGGGTTAACTATTTGCCCAGAGCTGGGATCCTAACAGGTGCTTTAAAAATCGGCCTTGTGCCACTTGCTACGTGAGGCATCTTGCTATATATATATATATATATATATATATATATATATATATATATATATATATATATCCTGATACTCGGAAAGTGTAAAAATGACTCACAACACACGCGCACACGAGTAACTAAATACAAACCTCTATTTCCCGTTAAATACTATTTCAAATCGTTCCCTGTGATTCATTATTCCTTCTCCGACGCCGGCTTTTCCTGTGTTTCGTCTGATAAAGACCGCAAAACTGAGGACTCGTCTCTTTTGTTCAGCCAGAGCGGCGACACCGGCGAATTACCTGTACAAGCATCTCACCTGTAATTAGTCACAGGTAGAGTTGAATTTACATAGTTGCTACGGGTGAGAGAGGGAGGGGTTAGATTTTTCTGGTCACACGACTAACCAAAAGAAACATGGACACTTCACAAACAATTTCCGGACATAAGGGAAAAAAAGCAACTCTGAGAAATGCATAGCAAAAAAAAATGTCGGGGAGGGAGATTTGGAGAGAAAGGAAATAAAGAAAAAGGGAGAGAGAGAGGGGGGATTAAAACGACTTAGTTTGGTTGGATATAGAAAGATTATTTTAACTATGCCCGACACCTTCGGATCAATGGTTTGCAGATTAATTCTATAGATTTTAATAATGGGCACTCTTATATTGAAGCCTTATGCCAGATTAAGTTAAGCTTATCAAAGAGTTGAACTGGGAACCGATGTTTAAGAATCTTGTCTGCGGGTCAGTTCATAATTGATCCTTACGTGGTAATTCAATATCAATGGTGATTTTCGAATCGTAGCTTAGGTGTGGCACAAGGTCGAAAATATGGGGCATCCAGTGAGAATCGAAAACTACTAAATTGTAATGGTTCTAGCGAGACAAGTTTACTGACCATGACGCTATGTCGAGGTGTCGATAGTGATTCTTCCAAGATTAGTTTAGATATGGCATATCTAGTTGGATTGTTATGTGATGTCCATCCTCTTAGATACCAGTGAATACAGGACAATCCCCTTACAGATAAGAAGAAAACTGGGGGTAACTGTGGTTCTGCAGAAGGATACTGAGAATTCTATAGGCGGAGGGAGTAAACAACGAGAAAGACTCAAAGAAAATGACAACAAAAAGAGCATTTAAGTTCAGAAACAGGATATGGCATCTGAATTGCTTAGACGCATGATTAGGAAGGAGGTCTTGGAAAAAGTAAGTCATGCCAAATACTGAGGGTAACTCAAAGACAGATAGGGTAACTTAGAAAGACCCCTACCTCACGAGCTTGTGTGAATGGACTACTAAGGTCAACAACAGATAAGAAGTTGTGGAGAGCTATGATTGACCCGACACATAGGATAAGAAGGACCACAGAATTTAGGAAGGCAACGCGTATAGAAGCCAGCATCCTGATGAATATGGTCCCGTTAGAATTTCCCCTATTCAGAACCAAGAAGGAAAGCTATAATTCCTTCAGCGCGATAAACATTCAGCTTTGTTTTTAAAGAAATTCCTCTGAAATTCCACGGTCAAAGTTTGAGCATTCCAAAGCAATCTGTATCTTTGGAGATGCGATTTGGATTTGGATTTTTTATGGATTACCAACCCTTTGTTGTTTATTCACAGTGAGAAAATATTTTGTAAGAATAATTCATTTTTACGATTGAATATTGCATTAGCATTTTTTAGAAAAATAATAATTTTTCCAGATGTAAGTCAGTATTACTATTTAACCCACACCTGGAGGATTCATACCTTTCCCAAATGTATTTGCGTATATATATATATATATATATATATATATAGAGAGAGAGAGAGAGAGAGAAAGAAAGAGAGAGCGAGGGAGAGAGAGAGACTCGCTCCCAAAATAATTTATACACTCTTTAAATATTAATAGTTAATAATACATTACCGTGATGTGAGAACTTATATGGATGAAAATCTGCAAAACAGATGGATTGGAAGAGGAGAGGCAGTTGACTACCCCCCTAGATCACCAGATTTGACACCTTTGGATTTCTTTTTGTGGGGTTTCTAAAAGACAAAGTTTACAGCAGGAAACCTGAAACAATTGCTGAAATGAGAATAGAAATTGAAGAAGAATGTGTTCAAAGACCAGAGGAAATGATACTGGACATTTGTAGGTCTATTTCTTCAAGATATGAAAAGTGTATTGAAAAGAACGGCAACCAATTTGAGCACTTGATGTGAACTCATCATTATATGAACATTCTGCCATTGACTCAAGTAGATTTTATCTTATTAAAGTTAATTTTTTCATGTTTTTTGTATATTTTACTCTCAAATTCTTTAAATGTGTATTCTTTCTCTTGTATTAATCTTATTTACAAGTCCAAATACATAAATTGAATAAGTTATAACGATTCAAAAGAGTGTATACATTATTTTGTATATATATATATATATATATATATATATATATATATATATATATATATATATATATATATATATATATATCAAAGATGGACAACCCAAGATGGGAACTACGAAATACAGGTTCCAAAATGATGCAAGTCCGAAATTTTAAATATCTGGAAATTGTTTTAACAGAAGGCGAACTATGTGACACCGAAATCCGAAGGCGTATTGGAATGGCGGAAGATGCCTTCCAAGAGCGAAGCAAAGTATAAAGAAACAGGAAAATTTCGATAGAAAAATTAAAAGAGTGTTGAACTTTTATGTAATATCAGTTTTCCTATATGACAGCGAACAGTAAACAAAATCTCCTGACAGATAAAGAACAGTGTTGAGGCAATAGAATTGTGATTCTGTAGAAGGATGAAATTCTTAGGAGACATAATGAGGAAAGAAGGCTAAGAGAATTTGAAACGTACAAGAGATATCGAAGGCAAGAGAGACAGAGGGAAACAATGAGTAACGTACTTAGCGAGAGTGTGTAATTGGTTGACTGAACAGGAACTGGGAAGTATTGTAAAATGAAAAGAAAATTTAAAAAGAACGATAAGAAGTTATAGAGAGCCATGATCGCCCATGTCCTGTAGGGACGCAGCACAAAGAAAGAAAAAACGAAGAAGGATTACTGCATTTAAAGATGAGACATTTTCACCCGCTGAGCCGCTGACAACTTGGCTACAAAGAAAGCAATTTAAGTCAGTCTCGATCAAACATGTTTGGTGTTTAGACGAGAATAATTAACTGAAGTCTTTTCAAAATTCTGCATGTTGCTTCAACTTTCAAAGTTAATCGAGCGATTCGCAGCGACCATGAAATGAATAATCTTTTGCGAGTCAAGCAAGGACATGTCCTCGAATTATCTATTTTTATCAGTGCTTTTCGGGAACCGGTGTTGTGTGTCTCGGACGCGGTTAGAAAATTCCCTTTGCCTTATTTTACTGTATTTTGTATTTGGCAGAGTTTATTTTCACTCGTCTTTGATAAGCCTTAATAAATTCAGATAATTGGGTCGAAACAAAAGTTTCTAGCGTTTCTTAAGTGTATTTGAAAGACAATAAATATTTCGATATTTGTAAATTGCTTAATTCATAGGCGTATGTGTCATTTTCTTTTACTACCTTTCGCGAATTTGTGGTAACTTCATTGCATCTTTCTCAGTTATTAAGTGGTCTAAATAATTATCACGATCACAGATATTAGAGGTTTTTGCCCTTAATATAATTTAACTTAGTACGGGCGGTGTAATAGGACAGCCCAGTCTAGGTGTATAGGTTTCGGTCGGATCTAATGAGAAGTGATGTCTGAAGAAGAGACGAGAGGTTTTCAAAGAACCAAGGGGTTCGCAAAGAGACTGGTGATCGGCAAAGAGACGAGAGGGCGGCAAGGATACGAAAGGTTTGCAAAGAGACGTGAGGTGGGCAAAGTGACGAGAGGTTTTTTTTTAAGCGTTTCACCCCAAGCAAGGCGGGAAGCCACTAGGACACAAGGGGTTACAGAAAATTTGAAGCAAGATAAGATAGGAGTGATAGAAGAAAAGATGAGGAGAAGGGTAGCGGATAGATCAAAACAACTGGAGATGTCGATTGACATTACATTTGAATAGCTAGAGATTATAGCTCTCAGGGAAACTGGAATAGGGAAGGGAGTTCCACAGGCGAGAGGTGCGAGACATGAAGCTATTGGAGTAGAAGAGACGGCTACATTTAATAGTTTCAACAGTGAAAGTGTGAGAGCGGGATGCCAGCCTCGTCGGGCGCTTGAATTCATGAAGTCTGGGAATCAGCGAATGGAGTTCCTCGGAGCAATTACCATGAAAGTATTTGTAAAACAGACAGAGAGAGGCGACGGTGCGTCTGTGAGAAAGTGACTGTAGACGAGATGCCAGAACAGGGCCAATTATATTGCATATCCGCCTCTGGATCTTATCAAGAACCCCGAGGCAAACATAAGGGGCTCCAGACCATATATAGCAGCAATACTCCATGCAAGGGCGAATTGTTGATTTGTAGATCTGGAGGATCGATTCCGGGGAGAAAAATTTCCTGGCGCGGCACAGGGAGCCATCTTTCCTTGCGGTGGACGAAGCAATTGACTCAATGTATTTGTTCCATCTCAGGTCAGCAGTCAACGTGAGACCGAGAAGCCGCAGAATGTTGCTCCCGAGAAGTTGAGCGTCAGATATTCTAATGGAGGGCAGGGAAGAGACGAGAGGTTTGCAAAGAGACTAGAGATTTGTAAATAGTCAGGTGGCGCGCGAAGAGACGAGAAGTTTGCGAAGAGACGATGGGTTTGTAAAGAAACGGCGGGAAGACGAGAGGGCGGCAAGCAAAGGAAAGTTTTGCAAAGAGACGGAAGGCGAGCAAAGAGACGAGAGGTTTGCAAAGAGACGGGAGGTTTGCAAAGTGACGAGTGGTTTGCAAAGAGACGGGAAGACCGCAAAGAGATGGGAGGCTGGCAAAGAGTCGATAGGTCGGCAAGGAATTGAAAGGTTTGCAAAGAGACGGAAGTTGAGAAAAGAGACAAGAGGTTTGCAAAGAGACGGGAGGTTTGCAAAAAGCTGAGAGGTTTGCAAACAGACGTGAGGTCGACAAAGAGACGAGAGAACGGCAAGGAAACGAAAGATTTTCAAAGAGGCGGAAGGTGAGCAAAGAGACTGATGGTTTGCAAATAGACAGGTGGTGGGAAAAGAGAAAAAAGGTTTGCAAAAAGCCGAGTGGTTTGCAAGGTGACGTGGTGTTTGAAAAGAGGCGAGAGGTTTGCAAAGAGGCAGGAAGTGGGCAAAGAGGCGGGAGGTTTGCAAAGAGACGAGAAGTTTTCATGTAGACAGGAAGTGGGCAAAGAGACGAGTGGTTTGCAAAGTGACGAAAGGTGGGCAAAGAAACGAGTGGTTTTCAAAGAGAAGAGGGGTTTACAAAGAGACGGAATGTCGGCAAAGAAACAAGATGTGTGCTAAGAGACGATATGTTTGCAAAATACAGGAGGTCGGCAAGGAGAAGATATTTTAGCAAAGGTACTGGTTGTCTGTAAAGTGACGGTTTCGTTTCGTTCGTTTTGTCTGACGCCATGTCAACCTCAATAGGTTATTTAATGCTGACAATTTTTATTGCTGGTAATATTTTTTTCAAAAAGTATTACTGGTAATATTTTTTCCTTCAAAAATCTATTCCTAGTAATATTTTTTATCTTTTTTTTTTCAATAATGTCTAGTTGGTAATACTTTTTTAAGCATTGCTGGGAATCATTTTTCTTCCTTCAAAAATCTTTTTTTCAATAATGTCTAGTAATATTTTTTATCTTTTTTTTCAAAATCTATAATGTCTAGTTGGTAATACTTTTTTTAAGCATTGCTGGGAATCATTTTTTTTCAAAATCTATTCCTAGTAATATTTTTTATCTTTTTTTTCAATAATGTCTAGTTGGTAATACTTTTTTAAGCATTGCTGGGAATCATTTTTTTCCTTCAAAAATCTATTCCTAGTAATATTTTTTATCTTTTTTTTCAATAATATCTAGTTGGTAATACTTTTTTAAGCATTGCTGGGAATCATTTTTTTCCTTCAAAAAACAATTTATTACAAATTACTTCTTGCATTAAAATCTATTTTTACACTTTAATAATATTTTGACCGAAATTTGAAAGGTTATCTATTTGTCCACACCTGGGACACTAACAGGTGTCACCACCCCTGTTCAGAGTGAACCTGGGAACACCAGCAATTAAGAGGTAAACCCACACACCTCAAAACCTCCTGATCAGAGGTCTTGATGTTGGACGTTGTTTATCGTCTTACCTTGGACGTGGATGTAGTTTATCATCATACCCAGGACCGTGTAATGTGACGGGAGGTCTTCAAAACATACAGGATGCCTGGAAAGAGACAGGAACTCGACCAAGAAACGAGAGGTCTTCTAAGAGCCTGAAGGTCGGCAAAGAGACTGGTGGTTTGCAAAGAGGCAAGAAATCTGCAAAGAGACTGCAGGTCAGGAAAGAGACGGGAGCTCTTCAAAGAGACTAGAGGTCGGCAAAGAGACTGGCAGTTTGCAAAGAGACAGGAAGTCTAAAAAAGACGGGATGTCAGCAAAGAGACTGGGGGTTTGCAAAGCGACTGGAGATCACCAAAGAGACGGCAGATCTTCAAAGAGACTAGAGGTCAGCAAAGAGATTGTATGTCTTCAAATAGATTGGTGGTCGACAAAGAGACTGATGGTTTGCAAAGAGGCGAGAGGTCTGCAAAGAGAAGGCAGATCTTCAAAGAGACTGGAGGTCAGCAAAGACTGTAGGTCTTCAAATAGATTGGGGTCAGCAAAGAGACTGATGGTTTGCAAAGAGACAGGAAGTCTGTAAAGAGATGGGATGGGAGGTCAGCAAAGGGACTGGTGGTTTGCAAAGAGACGAGAGGTCTGCAAAGAGACTGGAGATCAGCAAAGAGACCGGGGGTTTTCAAAGAGACTGGAGGTCTGCACAGAATCGGGAGATCAGCAAAGAAACAGTTGGTCTACAAATTGACGGGAGGTTTGGGTTTCGCATGATGGAAGACGACAGCCTTACAGGTGGGACAATTCTGGACGCTTGCTTCCTTTAAACGGTCCAATTGACAACAATGCTTTAATCGGTCCAATTGACAATACTTCCCCGAATTCAACATCCAACTTTTGTGAAGAGGCTTGAAATACACAATGGCGTTCTTCGGATGCTTTTGGATTCCTTTACGGTGGCGTAATTCACCCCGCAGTTTGTTTTCTTTTTTTTTTTGTTGTTGTTTTTTCGTTCCACAACTTCATAAACAATTCAAATTTCAACAAACAATCAGATAATCACAGCTGGAAATGCGATCTATTAATCTATTTCCGTTAAATCGTGAGCCACCCAAACATCTTAGTGACTCACGTTTCCAATTGTTTTCAAATACTTTACAACGCTTTATGTCTTATAGGGAGTACCTCTGCAATGTCCCGTATCATGTGACCGGGTTTTATTTAAATCGGAATTTTGATTTCTCTATCGTCTGCGACTGTATACATATTAGAACGTTCTTATTCTTTCAGACCAAAATATTTGTTTCTGAATCTGAATCACATAAGAACAGTGCTCTCAGCTATGGCACCACCTCTATAAATGGCACATATCTATTTAATTGTTTGTACATCTTTTTTTTTACTTTCCAGAAAGTGACGAAAATGCGCCTCCTTTTCCTCCCTTTTTACTTTTAACGTAACAACTTTTACAATTCATAATTCACACACAAATCTTATAGAAAACTGCGTTAAAATGTCATCATTAACGAAATATATACGGTCGACTTATAAATAATTTCTGTTTTTGTTTATTAATTTTATTCTACAAGAACTAAAGTACAATTATATATTATTAAATTATATATTCACCATGAAGTTTCCGTTATTATAATTTACAATTATTTGAATCACTGCCACTTATTATGCAGTTCTTCGATACCTTTTTGAGTAAAATTTCTCAACATTTGATGTGAAAAGATGAAAACAAAATGATTTAAAAACTGCTAAAATGAACAATGCTTCATCTTAGAAATTAGCACAACTAAGACAATAAAAGTTAAATCTTATTTTTTTTAACCAAGTTGCAAGCCACCATTTTATTATTCACCAAGACACGGTTGCCAGTAAAGAAATCTCAGTGTTGATTCGAATTCCATAACAACAAGAAATGATTTTTTTCGTATTCACATTGATTGCTTTCCTGGGGCTTAACCATTTGCAGGTTATTTAGAACTGGAAAACATTTTTAAATAGTAAAAAATTTTTTTTTTGGTTGGGGGGAATAATAATGGTTTAATGACACAGTTCAGTTCAGTTATACGCCATGCATGATACACGCTTAGGCGATCATGTATCTTTCGATACATGACTGAAGAGGCAGATTTTTTTACGCAGCAGGTTGCCATTTCTTTCTGCAGTAGACCAGTTGCCATCGAAGGCTAACTCTGTCCTGCTATTTACCGATAGCTGGAGGGGAGAGAGAAGAAGAGAATACATACCTTTCGCAAGGGTATTAGCACGTAAGTGAAGGTAATTGTCCTTCTCCTAGGTCAGTTGCCATCCAAGGCTATAGAACCGGGTCTGTCCGGCTATTTACCCATAGCTGGGGGGAGAAGAGGAGGATTTAGACTTTTCCCAAGGGTATTATCCCTTTCAGTCAGTTATTTATGTACCATGCGTGATACACGCTTAAGCGATCATGTATCTTTCTATACATGACTGTCAGCTTTGGAATCTCCTGCAACTCTTCTGGACACTCTTCTTGGTTTAGTTGATGAATGCTATCATAATCCTTACCATCAAATTATTTTTGGTGTTACAAAGAGTTTTGTTGGTTGCTCACTCAACTGTGCCCCACACTATAATACTCAAGGGACCTTGCAGTCTGGGGAGTTAGGTGGCCAGATATAAAGAGTGATATGGTCGCAGAAATTTTCTGACAGCCATGACTGGGTTCTCCTGCTTGTGTGTCATGCTGCAGAGTCCTGTTACCAGATATAGGGTCTTCCAGTAGCGATCCTTTTGACCTAGGGCAGCACTGCCTCAAGGGAATTGATGTAGGCCTCGGAGAGTTTCCGAGCCAATCTATAGCACTTTGCTCACTGGTAAGGCTTGCCAGTGTGTTCGTAAGATGTGATTAAAGGACAAGAAAAATAATAATATTTATAAGAAAACTAATAATACTTATTAGTAGGTCTGTTGATCAAACAATAGCACGACGAGAAAGATTTTTAACATCGGAATTTTCGGACACGCCTGCGTCCTTTATCAACGAGACGAGAAACAAAAACTGAAAATGAAGTGAGACATTTTCCTCGGAATGTTTTTTTCGCGAGTGTTATATTACCGAAGAAATCTGAGAGTACTGGGCTAATTGTTTGTTACGATTAGGGTTGTACGTAGAAGGTTTGTATTTTTTCTGCATACAGTTTTCACAAAACCCTAAAAAGCATACGTGGACAACCTTATATATACAGTGTAACCCGGATATAAGAGAGTTGTCGGGACCGGAGAAGAAGTCTCTTATATCCGGGTTTCTCTTATATCCGGGTTTCTTTATATCCGGGTTTCTCTTATATCCGGGTTTATAATACAGTGTAACCCGGATATAAGAGACTCAGATATAAGAGAAACCCGGATATAAGAGAGATTTTCTCTGGTCCCAAATTAGAGCCTGTGTTAATGTATATAAAATAGACCAAACCCGGATATAAGAGAAACCCGGATATAAGAGACTTCTTCTCCGGTCCCGACAACTCTCTTATATCCGGGTTACACTGTATATATATATATATATATATATATATATATATAATGAAAATTAGATCATTTAAACATATCTATTATATATATATATATATATAATTAACGACAGGCTAATTGTTTGTTACGATTAGGGTTGTAGAAGGTTTGTATTTTTTCTGCATACAGTTTCTACAGAGAGCCTTCTACAAAACCTCAAGAAGCATACGTGGACAACCTTATATATAGTTATATATACGCAGCTTTTGTTTGAATCTGTGTAATGTGCAATGAAAATGGAGAAGTGAAGATTGTCAGTGATCAGGAATTAAAAATGTCACTGACAGAAATCGGCTAGTAAATGTATAACGTCTTGCTAATATTTTATTATAAAATACATAGAAAATAAAGAAGTAAGGATCGTTAGATATCAGGAATTAAAAGTAAAACTATTGTTACTAACAGAACAGGACTACATTTATAATATAAATGTATTTTCACATGATTTTATGCATGGGTGGAAACGAGGAAGATAAAAAGATCTTTGATTGTAATGAATTTA